ATTTGATTATTATTATTTTTAAATTTAGACTCAATTGTGAGTCACGTCATAACTTTCAATTAGTCCTATTTTTATTATTTGTTAGAACTACTTTTATTAATGTTTGATAAAAGATATGATTCCAAATTGTTCTGCATATGTTATTTAATTTAATTTACCTTTTGTTAAGGTTGTTTCAATTTTTACTGAATTCCTCGTTATATTAAAATGTATTTGCCTCAAGCACTTTATTAATCAATTCACGTTTGGTAACGTTCCGAGTTGCTAAAGAATTCGGGCGTTACAGCTTGGTATCAGAGCAATGGTTTACTTTCCTGTAGATTTTCAAAATTTAAAAATTTTGAAAAAAAAAAGAGCTATATATATTTAATCTTTTTGGAAGATTCATTATTTGAGTTTTCTTGCTTTGAGTATTCGTAAAACTAAGAGGCTTTGTCAAAAAGACCTAAACTGTCTAAGGCGAGCTTGGGATTTAAGCGGTCCACTTGTGACCCCCCTCCTCACCTGGAAGCCTTTTAGTTGCGCGTTATTCAAATCGATAAGACGAAAAATAATGTTTTAAACCCACTACAATTTTAGAAAATTCTTTCATTTTAGAAACTTTTATACCAAAAAAAAAAAATTTTACAAAAATTTATAAGTTACGAGATCCATGGAATCCAATGCTCATCAATCTACCACTGTCCAATATTTTAAGGTATGTAAGGATGAAGAATATTTTTATTGATATTACCATTTATATTTCAGTGCATACTAGTTAATTGCATGATTTTTTTTTTCTACACGTCATTTTACTTTAAGGGAGAATGTTAATTAAGCAAATGATTATTTTGTGTAGGATAGTATGATTAGTAAAGCAATTCTTATATGACTAGAACCTTAGTGTATAACACTTGACCTTAGCATAACATACACGAAAGACATGACTAAATATAGAAAAACCTTTAGGAAGAGTGTAGTATGGTTGAGCAATTCTTAAGATAAATTACTTTTACTTCAAGGAAATGGCACGACGACAACAAGATCAAGCTACTATGTTCAGAGATTTACTAAGGGCAGTACAAGACTTGGGCAGACAGCAGGCTCAAGCGGCACCTCATAATGCAACAGGAGGTGCCAACACCATGAGCTCAATTGTTGAACAGTTTCGTCGCTTTAAACCTCCGTCCTTTGATGGTAAAGGTGATCCTTTCGCAGCTGAGGAGTGGCTGAGAAGACTTGAAGGAATCTTCGAGCACATGAACTGCAATGATGCTCAAAAGGTTTCTTGTGCAAAGTTTATGTTGACTGATGATGCTGGACATTGGTGGGAGTCTGAAACACGTACTAGAACTACAGAACAACAACGTAACCTCACTTGGAACCAGTTCAAGGAGTCGCTAATGGGTAAATATTTTCCCCAGTCACTGAAAGATCAAAAGGAGGTAGAATTTCTCCAGCTCACGCAAGGAAATTTGCCACTTGGGGAGTATGAAAGAAAATTTGAACGACTTTCTAGGTATGCACCGCATATGGTGAACACTGAGCTGACAAAGGCTAAAAGGTTTGAGATGGGGTTAAGGCCAGAGATCAAGGGAATCATGGCAGCCCAGCAGTATACTACTTATGCAGAGGTTGTACGTCGAGCACAAGCAATCTCTAATGGTTTAGGACTGGAAAAGAAAACCCAACCCAGCACCGAGTCGTCTATAAAGAGAAAGTGGCAAGGTCATGATAAGGAGAAAGGTAAGAACCAGAATAAGAAAGGAAAGATTGGGTCAGACTCAAATAAAACTTTTCCTCAATGCTCCAATTGCAACAAGCGACACTTGGGTGAATGTCTTCAGGGAAAGGGAGTATGCTACAGTTGTGGTAAGAGTGGTCATTTCCTTAGAGAATGTCCAGAGAAGAAGAGAGAAGGTGATTTGATGTAATTTTGGGTATGGACTGGTTGGGTAGAAATTATGCAACCATCTTATGCCATAAGAAGGAAGTTTTATTTCAAAAACCTGGAGAAATTTTTTTTCGATTCTTTGGAACAAAAATTGGGACCCTACCTCGATTGGTATCTGCAATGAAAGCACAAAAGATGTTGAGAAAGAATACTTGTCAAGGATTTCTATTGAATATAATTAGTAAGCCCCAAACCGAAAGAAAAATAGAAGATGTACTAGTAGTTAATGAGTTTGTGGATGTTTTTCCTGAGGATTTACCTAGTATACCGCCTGATAGAGAAGTAGAGTTCACAACTGACTTGACCCCTGGGGCAGTGCCAATATCTAAGGCTCCTTACAGGATGGCACCAAAAGAATTACAGGAGTTGAAGATATAACTACAGGAATTATTGGATAAGGGTTTCATCCGGCCAAGTGTATCCCCATGGGGAGCGCCGGTATTGTTTGTTAAAAAGAAAGATGGGTCAATGAGGATGTGTATTGATTATAGAGATATTAATCATTTGACTATAAAGAACAAATATCCACTCCCAAGGATAGAGGATCTTTTTGATCAATTGAAGGGTGCAAAGGTGTTCTCAAAAATAGATTTGAGATCAGGTTATCACCAACTCAAGATAAAGGATTGTGATATTCCTAAAACGGCGTTTAGAACACGGTATGGGCACTACGAGTTTACGGTGATGCCATTTGGTTTAACCAATGCACCAGCTGTGTTTATGGACTTGATGAACCGAGTTTTTCATCCATATCTAGATCAATTCGTTATAGTCTTCATTGACGATATATTGGTATACTCAAAGGATAAACAGCAACATGAAGAACAGTTGAGAGTGGTATTGAATACTCTTCGAAAGGAGAAGTTGTATGCTAAATTCAAAAAATGTGAATTCTGGCTGGATCGTATTGACTTCCTTGGTCATGTGGTCACTGCTCAAGGAATTGAGGTAGACCCAGCTAAAGTTGAAGCTGTAACAAATTGGTCTAGACCAACCAATGTAGGCGAAGTTCGTAGTTTCTTGGGTTTGGCTGGCTATTACCAGAGATTTATTGAAAGATTTTCTAAGATAGCTGGTCCACTGACACAATTAACTAGAAAGGGAGTGAACTTTCAATGGTCAGATAAGTGTGAAAGTAGCTTCCAAGAACTGAAACAGAGATTAGTTTCAGCGCCAGTATTGACAATACCAGACGGCTCAGAAGGTTTTGTTATATACAGTGATGCTTCTAAACAAGGTTTGGGGTGTGTGTTGATGCAACATGGAAAGGTTGTTGCTTATGAGTCTAGACAGTTAAAACCATATGAGCAGAATTATCCAACACATGACTTAGAACTTGCAGCAGTAGTTCACGCATTAAAAATATGGCGTCACTATCTCTATGGTGGAAAATGTGAGATATACACTGATCACAAAAGTCTCAAATACTTCTTTACTCAAAAGGAGTTAAATATGAGACAGAGGAGATGGTTGGAATTGGTCAAAGACTATGATTGCACCATTTTTTACCATCCAGGTAAAGCCAACGTAGTTGCTGATGCTTTAAGTAGAAAAACAACTGGGAAGTTGACAGCTCTACCCACTCAAGAACAGTTAATTAAAGAATTTGAAAATTTGAGGCTAGAGGTTGTTGCCCCTTCTGTACAGGAAGCAATTGTTGCAGCTCTAATAGTTCAACCCACTCTTAGAGAACGGATTAGAGAAGCCCAAAAGAATGACCCATTTTTATGTAAAATTATGGCTGAAGTTGGGACAGATAAGCGAAAGGGATTTGCAATAACTGAGGACAAGGTACTTATGTATAAACGCAGATTATGTGTTCCTAAGGATGAGGGATTAAGGAAAGAAATTCTTGAAGAAGCACATTCTACTGCTTATACAGCACATCCAGGCAGTACAAAAATGTATCGAGACCTTCGAAATACATTTTGGTGGAGAAACATAAAAAGAGGGATAGGACTTTTTGTAAGTAAATGTATGGTATGTCAGCAAGTGAAAGCAGAACATCAGAAACCTTCAGGGTTGCTTAGACCACTAGATATACCGGAGTGGAAATGGGAACACATTACCATGGATTTTGTGGTAGGATTTTCGAGATCCACTAAAGGAAACAGTGCTATCTGGGTAATAGTGGATCGTCTTACAAAGTCAGCCCACTTTCTTCCAGTCAAGATGACATTTACCATGGAACAATATGCACAGGTTTATGTTAAAGAAATAGTCAGGTTACATGGGGTCCCCATTTCTATTATTTCAGATAGAGACCCGAGATTCACGTCAAAATTTTGGAAAAGTCTACAAAACGCTATGGGGACAAAATTGAAATTTAGTACTGTATATCACCCACAGACTGTGGACAATCTGAAAGGACAATTCAGACACTCGAAGATATGTTAAGAGCATGTGTACTAGATCTCGGTGGCAGCTGGGAAACACACTTGCCTTTAGTAGAGTTTGCCTATAACAATAGTTTTCAAACAACTATAGGCATGGCACCTTATGAGGCATTATATGGTAGGAAGTGCAGATCACCTATCTATTGGGATGAGGTTGGAGAAAGAAGAATCCTAGGACCCGAGATTGTTGATCAAACAGTACGAGCTGTGGATAAGATTCGAGACAGAATTAAGGCTGCTCAGGATAGACAGAAAAGCTATGCTGATAGAAGGAGAAAAGATCTTGAGTTCCAAATCGGTGACAAAGTATTTTTAAAAGTAGCTCCAATGAAGGGAGTACTTAGATTTGGAAAAAAAGGAAAATTGAGACCAAGATTCATTGGACCATTTGATGTATTAGAAAGAATTGGAGATGTGGCATATAGACTGGCACTGCCACCAGAACTTTTAGCAGTACATAATGTTTTTCACGTATCAATGTTGCGCAAATACTTACAGGACCCTAGTCATGTGATCAACCATCAAGACCCTAGTCATGTGATGAACCACCAAAATTTAGATGTACAACAGGATTTAACCTATGAAGAAATGCCACTGAGGATACTAGAAAGAAAGATTCATGTACTAAGAAACAGGGAAATTCCTTTAATCAAGGTCTTATGGCGTAATCATGGAATGGAAGAAGCAACTTGGGAAAAGGAAGAAGAGATGAAAATCAAGTATCCCGAACTTTTCAACTAACTTAAGGTAAATTTCGAGGACGAAATTATTTTAAGGAGGGTAGGTTGTAAAATCCC